AGAAGATTCTGAAGCGTCAAAAAGTCAATATGAGCCTCTGGCTTTCAACTCAAAGGAATTAACACGCAATTTGAAGGTATGAGATTAGGCAGCATTGAACAACCATTCAGATGATCATCATGAGAGGCAGACCTAACATTCTTTCTTAGGATTTCTGAGAGGAAGCCAAAGTTTATAAATGAGTAATGTTTTAAATGACGTGTCTCTGAAATTTTTTGCCTTTGGCTCTATGCTGGTAACATGCCACATTTGAGCAGAAACTTGAAAAACACAAGCACATCTGCATGATAATCTGAACAAAACCTGCCAAACATTTCAAATTTGATGGGGGAGAGAAAAGATCAGTGAAAAGAGAGAGAGATCAAAGCAGGAAGAGTGTGAAAGAGAAGAGTGAGAGAGTGAAACTGGAGGGGGAGGACTGTTGGGAGAGAAGAAAGATGATGAAACACTTTTTGCAGAGTAATATTTTCAACAAAACCATACCATTCATCCACCTATATCAGTCATCAGAATCTAAACAAATGTTTCTCTCTCTTTCGTTCTCGGAAAGCCTGCCCTCGATGCCTTCATTCCACAGCTGCCGGCAGGGCTCTTTCCTTCATCCATCTTTTCCAAAGTGCTCTTTCTCTTCTTCTCGGCCTCTCCCTTCCTCCATCTCACACTCTCCCTTAGCGCACACTAAACAAATAACGATTGTATTTATCTCTATCATTCTCTCCATTTTCCTTTCCTCTCTCTTGTTTTCTTGCTCCCTTGTTCAATATTTTATGTGGATGAGAGCGTATCTATTCTAAGCTTGCTCTCCGCCGCCTCCCCTTCCTGCCCAGTCGTTTAAAAAAAATCCTTTTCTCTACACATCATTCTTTCTGTCTACCTCCTTTCCCTCCATTTCTATAAATCTCTCTCTCCCGTTTCATCCCTGATGTTCTGCGTCCCATTTTTTGCTCTCTCTCTCTCTCTTTGTGTGACTGGACAATGTCCACTTCATTTATACAAAGAGGTTCTTAGCCAGCGTGCTTTTTTTTTTTTTTTGCCATCATTTGGAGTAACGTGAATGCATTTCAGTTTTTGCATCTCTTTCTATGTAATTTTCTTCGTCTCTTTGCTGGTGTTACTAATATCTCTCCACCTTCTTCTTGATCTTCTTCCCGTCTCTCTCTCACTCACACTCTCTCATGTGCGCTCTATCTATGTCAGTGTTGTTTTAGGCACAGCAGTGGAAGGTAAACAGTGAGATTGAAAATTCGTGTCAGACAGATGAGTGAGAGGAAGGGAGACTGTAAGAGCGAGGGAGGGAAAGAGACTGACAGAAAGAGAGAGAGAGAGAAAGAAAATGTGTTAAGGGCCACTTTTGCTTCTTAATTTTGAAACAGAGAAGTTCTCCGAAAGAATCAGTCTAACCTACAAATTATGAAAGCGCACTTAAAGGAATATTGTGGGCTAAATACCTGAGTTCTATAGAGAACCTGAATGCTTTCGATTAGCAAAGGACATCTTGACTTGTTCCTTTAGTTGGTTGGAAAAAAGATTCAAATTCATTGAAACATGGTTAAAATTGGATAAAGAAAAAAAAAATGGAAAAATCATTATAGCAATGCACTTTATAGCACGCAGCCAAGTGTTCCAGAGAGGTTAAAAGCAGAAATGCGAGGCTTGACATTTTTAAAGCACTTACAGGAATACTTCAGTGAAGACAGTTTGTTATTTCAGCTTAAAATGATATAATAATAATGATAATAACACAAATAAAATAAATTATATATCCATTCATCCACCCATCCGTTATACTGGAGTCTATCTATAGCATCTCAGGCCACAGGCAGGGGAAACACCCTGGACAGATGGCCAGTCCATCACAGGTCTCACTCACACACACACACACTAGCACACACAGACACTTTAAAAAATGTTAAATGAATAATAGGCCATTTATATAGCACCATTATGCATAAAATGCAGCTCAATGTGAATAGTGTTTTTTTGTTTGTTTGTTTGTTTTTTGAGCTGGGCTACTTTTCTAGGTGGATGAATGCCTGATTATGCAATATAAACAGTGCTTTGTTTCATTACACCCCTTCAAAATCGTGTATCATAGATACCAAGTAAGCAGGTTTACTTTTTAGCTGATCGTGACATGAGTTGAATGATTGAGTATATTAGATTAAATTAATGTTAATATGCCAATTTGGTCCCCGCCTCCACCCAGTCACACTAGCTCTGTCTGAACTGTAGCAAACACTGACTGCACAATGGCAATTGCAAATGGTTTAATTCAGCAATATGCTTAAATTAGAAACTTAGAAACTAGAATTTCTCTGAATTAGAAACTGTACAGGGTCATCTACAAATCAGTGTATCAGAATAGTAATGCTCTCTAGTCTCTACAACGTCGGACACTTAACAGTAATAGATGATTAGCCTTTGACTTGACTACATTATCAAACGGTTAATAATGTGTTATTAATGATTCGCCATCTCGGAGACAGACATGCTCCTAAAAATAAGCATCCTTAGAAACACTTTGGTTACATGTTTGTGAAGGTAAAGGGACGGTTTCTAAACATGTTTTTTAGACTACGCTGCAGTTTTGAGAATCATCGGCAATAGTGTTGACTGATGAATTTGCACATGCATGTTTTAAAGCATATTATAAAATGCCACATAGACATTTAAACAACATTAAAAATTAGATTTTTTAAAAATGTATTTACAGTGCTGCCTTGCTTAAGGCCCGAGCACCGTTTGTGTGAGGGCCCTATTGGAATTGCTCCGTTTATGTTAATTGTATTTGCTCCAAATGAGAACCAGCCACCCCCCACAGCCCACAGTTGTTGTTCAAGTGGAATATTTTTAAATGGCCAATTCACATGTGCTAGATTTCCATGGTGTGATATTTTAAATGAGATTTGGGAATGTGGGCAGATGCAGGCAAAATACATTGTTGGTACAACAGACTACAGAGCTGATTTGATTCTGGCCCAATGTCTCCAGCGTGACGGGGACGCCGCGTCACCTCCCAGTCACAGGCAGAGAACTTCCCGTGTCATAAGGTCAGCCGTATAGCCCGATGCGTTTGTGTTTTAGTTGGATAGTTTATTTCTGAAAGCAAATCAAAGTTAGGCAAGAGCTGAATGTTCTATTAGATTGAAGGCTATGAGTGTGTGGAGATTGGATTTGAGAGCGAGAACCAGCCATGTGACGGATAGAGCAGAGCAGGAACTCCCCGAGCTAAATGTCATAAGGGCCACGGTGTCACGGGGCCTGAAAATGATACACTACCATTTTTCATCATCTGCTCCTGAGACAGAGAGACACAATTGAATTGGGAGGCAGTATTGCAAATGAAAGATGTTTTATGAAAACTGACAATGGCCTGTCAGGGTTATATAAAATGGTTTGAATTGTAGTAAATAGACAAATGCAAAAAAAAAAAAAAAAAAAAAAAAAAAAGGATGGAATAGAAAGGATATGTAAATCTCTCACTCTAGGGGGAGTGCACAACTGACTTTCTTGAATATTACAATTTAGGAGCTATTTATGATTGCAAATTTCAAACTCAATTTGCAACATACTTAAAATACGAATCTTAGTGTGTGTGTGAAGGGGATGTTGAAGAGGGAATATTTTCCTCTAGACTTACCGTACCAATTTCCATTTTTTTGCTCGAGTCCAAAAACTTGTGTGCTGACAGGGCGAAGGAACGACTGTTGAAAAGAGGAGTGCAATATTTCGTCAATGCCATAGAAACTGTGGTGGAGAGAAGGATGGCAGGCCAATGAGAGTGAGGCACACAAAGAGGTGACAGAGGTAGATCACGAGAGAGTGAACGAACAAAAGAAGGACAGAAATAGACTTCGAAAGAGTCAATGTAGCTTGACACAATGGGTGTAGGGCGAAGACAGCAGGAGCTGGTGAATGTGTGTGTGTGTGTGTGTGGGGGGGGGGTAGTATGCTTTACAAACGGGCAGGGAGGAAAGACAGGTGAGAAATAGTAAAATACAAAAAGAAGGAAAAGACAGAGGGATTCCCCAATGACACCTAATCTCTTCCTCTCTTTCTCACTGTCCTCTCTCCCTCTATTCCCTTCTTTTCTCCCAATAAATCATTTTGACTTCTGCTTAACCAACTCATTCCCAGCAGACGGGAAGCAAACTGCAACTATCCCTGCCCTGAAACCCTCTCCTTTCTCTCGCTCCCTCGCTTTTTCTCATTCTTGGTGAAAAAAAATCAAAAACTATCATGACTATCACCAAGGCAACGTGTCTTAAGGCATCATGACATCGATGTTCGTGTAGCCTAATAAATAGCCTGTTACATAGCACTTTTCCTCTAAATGTGATAGATAGATAATTTGTGTATCTGTACAGGTGTCTGTATAATTATGGAAGGCTCACATGACACATGATCAAGCGAGACTGATTACTATCATATGAACATTAACATCAGCTCAACATCCTGTGTGTGGAGATCCCATGAGTGAAGGACAGAGATGAGCCATCCATCAATCCATTCACCCTCCTAAGAGGATTTCCCATAATTATTCCATATTAGAAAAGACTTACACTGATCTAGAGAGAGAGAGAGAGAGAGAGAGAGAGAGAGAGAGAGAGAGAGAGAGAGAGCAGGTGTGTAAAGAAGGATGGAGGTTTGCGGATAATAGGATATGCACTCTGACAGACAGTAAGAGGATTGTGGTGGTAATTAAAACTGCTCTAGGAACGGTACCCGTCGTAAATGTTTAGTTAGTATATAAAATAAAGTTTTCTCCTCCGTCGCGAGAGAAGCTGTCTGAAAGCATCTCTGAAAGACGAGAGCTCAGATCTAGAGCCAACGGACGCGCGCTTTTGTGCTGGGCAGGAGGCGGAGCTGGTGACGGAACGAGCACAGCCTACCAAACAGCGCGCGCGCTGGTGTGTGTGTGTGTGTGTTGTGTGTGTATGGTGAGAGAGAGAGAGAGTGTGTGTGTGTGTGTGTGTGAGAGAGAGAGGGAGAGAGAGAGAGAGAGAGAGAGAGAGAGAGAGAGAGAGAGAGGATATGGCCAAAGAGAGCGAATAAAACTCGCTCGAGCACTTGTTCGTCACACAATTTGTAAGTGTGAAACATTCCGCAGCCGCGCGCAGGATTCTCCACGCGCAGCCAACCAGATACGATCTCACGAGCAGCATCAACAAAAGAGAATATAGTTTTACAATCACGGAGCCTGGTAATCTCACGAGTTTTCCCAACGCTACAGGGTGGACATATACCTCTTTCCCGCATTTAAACTCAAACCACCCGGCTGCCTGCACCTCCCTGCTCCGTCCGCGGAGACCCATCAGCGCGCGAACAGTGGTGGTCTCCTGTCGGACCATTGGATTGGGGTTGACGCCATGGGGACAGAGGGAGGGGGTCTTTGCCATGGATTCTGACTTTTTAAACACTTAATATAACATATAGATTGCGAAAACCCGTATCTAAGTAGTTGAGCGAGCTGCGCTTTAGGTCGCATCTCTTCCTGTCCTTCTTTACCGAACGGGATGGTTCCAGCGCAGAGTCGCGTGGGGTGAGAAGATCTTGCAAAGACTGAGAAGAAAAGCGAGAGATCGAGGGATTATGGCACTCTTCGCGCTCTGTCTTTTTATTCTGACGATCACCTGCACGAACTTTGACCTCGTGACTGCAGCCAGGCACGCGGTACACTGGAACAGTTCAAACATATCGTAAGTAGCTTTTATCGTCCCTTTTCCTTAAATAAATCCAAATTTATTAGACAATAGATTTGAACAGATTTTTTAAATATGTGGGGTTTTTTTTTTAGCCAGGAGAGTAGCTAATATAAACCAATCTTTTTTGAAACCAGTTTAGAGGTTTACCTATTTGTTGGGATTCCTTGGGGTCAGGTGCATCAGTAGCTTTTGGGGATCTGTTTGTGTGTAATGTGAGTGTTTGTGCATCTCTTTGTATGACCATAATCAATGCGGGAGTTTGTTTGAATGCATTTTAAAAAAAGAAGGAGTGATTAATTTTTATTAACCTCTTGATCTCAAAAACAACTAAATATAGGTTAGGCAGATGTTTGTTGAATGGTATTGCTTTGTAGTCTCGTAAGTTGTTCAAATTGGTACTCATCTAAGGTTTTTGTTCCATTTGCTTTTAACTAAAGTAATTGACACAAAGCAGCTTCACAGTTTTATGCCTCAAGCTTCGATGGGAGTGTCGGAGTCGGCCAGAAAACATGGAAACAATCACTTGAAACTCTAGATGTACTGACATGACAAGGAGTGACTTCTGCCCCAAATATGAGTTTAGTTCAGTTACATGTCTGATGTAGATTATAGAAATTATAGAAATATCTTAGGTTTGCACTCTTGTCCTCACAGAACCTCTTTCTCTCTATCCTCCTTTTGTGTTTCTTTCCATCACTTCACTCACACTCCTGTATGTTTCTCTCATGGAGTCTCTATCTGACACCCCCTCCCTCTTTCATACTTGAAGCCCAGTGTAATAGTCCCCAGTTTCTTTTCATTCCATCTGCTGTAATTAGCGGCACTTTTTCAAAATGACCTCAATATGCCTGCATTGTGACACCATTCAATCTCAGCATTTCTCACTGACACACACACACACACTCACTCAGTCTCTCTTTCTCCCACACTTCATTATTTTACTTCATATTAGAATGACTGGGATGTTTAGGTCACGGTCTGACTGAACGGTAAATTAGAGCAACGGTGCAGTTATAGATGGGTGTGTTGGTGTATTAGTTTGTCATCTGGCACTATCAGTTTTAAAACCTATGAAACAATGCAGGAATTGAGTTTACAGGTACTGTTCACACTAATAAGTAGGGCAGAATACAAATTTAGCCTAAATCAAAATCAAATTAAACACATGGACCTGCAGCAGCCCACCTGCCTGAGAGCCTCTTATTTACAGGTACTCGTATCTAAATCTCAATCACTCACTTACCCTTCACACATTTTTCAGTGATTATATAAAAATCTGGAGCCTGTTTTAAGCCAGGCACACATTGTATTATTTTTATGGTCCTAAAATCGACATTGGACACCCCTTGGATATTATTTTGCCCCTCTTCGTGTTTCACTCCTATGCAGTTTGGGCCTTTGTATATACAAATCTTAGAATTAATATTTTATTCAAAGGACCACATGAACACTATGAATTGATCGTAGTAAAGCCATGCAAATGCAAACATTTACAGTCTTCAATCAGGTTTTCAATCAGGGTGCTGGGACCCACTAGGGGGCCTCAGCAAACTTCCAAGAGGGCCATATTACTTATTCAAATTAATATTACTAATCAATTATATTTATATATATATATATATATAATCTCACAAGTTCACACTCAAATAATCAGAATAAATAAGTATACGTATTTGGCATTCTGTCCAAGGGGAGCGCTCCGAGCTCAGAATTTGGCCCAAACCCACAGTACTCCCCCACCCCCACCCATATCCCTTGACTTCAATAATAACCAGCCGAGAGTGAGGAGGGATGCAGAAAATTGTCGACGAACTTCGGTGAGTCGGCTATGTATGTAGGCTATATAATACAGTATATAAGTAATTGACAGACTTTAAACATGCTTCTCCCGGACCTTGTTATTAAAACATTATACCGGTAGCCTACACCTTGAAAATTTTGTTGGACAATGGAGGTCTTGAGTCTAAAGAGTTGAAAAGTACATCAAGAGAAATATTTAACAATCTCCAAAATTTTCCTTTGTGGCCAAAATCATACAGTGTGAACGTATTGTATTTGACGTTAATCACATCTAATTACTGCAAGGCAAAATACACACACTTTTTTTAAAGAAATGATTTGAATCTTCTGATTTTGAAGAAAATTCAAAATGTCCAAGGACAGTCTTATTTATTGGCAACTGGAAGCGATAGTCAAAATATTGAATAAAACAACACGCAATAAGGGCCATTTTGCACACAACGATATTGCGTGGGCCAGCTTACGCCTTAGGTGTTTAGCTCTACATTATATCTGCGCCTCCATGTGCTTTTAGCTTTACACTAGAGTTCTCACTGTGCAGAGAAATGAAAAGTGCCTCTTCCACCCAGTTTCACCATACAGTGTCTAACTGCATTAGCATGGGGAGCAGCACGGGGTGGACATGCTACGTGATAAAACCAAATTAAACTGGCTTATTTTCAAGGATTATTTTTAATAAGACTTCTACAGCAAATGCTATTACACACTTCCGGCTCACTGCACCGTAGAAAGTGTGGACCCCATTTTACTATGAGCAACTGTTTTCCTCATTATTTTTTGTTCCAGGAAGTGTTTACTTTGTTTTGTTTTTTTTTAAAAAAAAAGTGTTTGGGGAAATTAGCCTGTAAGCTAACATTATTTGTGTAGACTTCCCTCTCTTTCCATTACTGCTCTGCAATACTGATGACACCCTGTTACCTCAGTTTGGCCTAGATATACAGCACAGAGAGAGAGAGAGAGAGAGATTTAGAGCTGAGATATTTAAGCACTGTTTTGGTGAATGTTGAACTATACTCGCACTTTATGCCCGCATATTCTCAGCATAAATGTAGCACAGCATGCTAATAGCGCTAATAGCTGTGGTCAGTGTGCTGCATTTGGGTCTACAGACAGAGCTGCACAGTCACTCTGTCTCTCTGTGCCGTGGACTACACTGAACAAGCTATTATTCTCTGGATAGTGTTTTGACTCGGGGGTGTGATACAGAGCGCGTGTGTGAGTGTTCTACAACTAAACGTCTTTGTTTTCGAGCAGAGCATGTTTGGTGTAAACAGTAAGCAAGGTGCCGTCGGCTATGAGGTAAAAACTAAAACAAAGCAACCAGTCCACTGCCTCCTCATTCATCTTCTTAGAGAGTTATAGCTGAGAGTGTACCTTCAACTCACACACACACACACACACACACTGACAATTACTGAGCGTGGAGTGGGCAGTGATCCTAACGGCCCTACACTTTCGCTCCAGTGATGCGTGTCCCGGAGAAAATACAGAAACCTCTCTGCATAATTAGAAAACAGAGTTGAATAAATGCAAACTGCTGGTTTTCGTGGCAAACACACATCTGCTGACATAAGGATTACAGTCACATGAGGGAACACTGTGGTATGTAATGTAGAAAAAGCACTGTAAACACATGTGTAATGTTATAGAGCTGAAGTGAGTGTGGACTCCAGGGGAAAACATCTCCACTCTGTTAGAGCACAATTACAGAACACGAGTAGAAAACACCAGCCTGGACTGAACAAAAAGTCTTTAATACTACTGCTAATAAAGCATTACATTTGCAAATAAGTGTTGGGTGTTCCCTTTCGAAGGGAACTCAACAATACGTCGAATGACGCAATGGAGACGTATTGTCTCGTTCCCTGTTCTCAGGGAACATAGGTTACAGTCGTAACCTGGGAAGTTCGAAGGGAACGAGACAATAGTCTCCATTGCGTCATTCGATGTATTGTCTCGTTCCCTGTTCTCAGGGAACATAGGTTACAGTCGTAACCTGAGACATTTATTTTTGTGCTAACATCTATTTTAACATTAAAGAACATATTGCAGGTAAAAAAAAATCAGTCATTGTGTTTTCAGTAGTTTTTGTACTTATTAATTTATATAATTTATCATCGTCATGGTGTTGTGAACTTTTTTCTTCTAAAGTGTTTGAAAACTCAGAAGTGAAGTCCTGGAGACTTGTATCTTCAGCTGGATTCTTTATTGAGAAACACGAGCTGTTGGTAGCTGCAGTCCTCGTCAAGTCTGCTTCGTCCATCTAACCAAAGTCTGACTAAGCAAATATACCTTGTGTTCATATACCTTACTAGGGGGAGGGGTTACATAAAGGTGGAGACACTCTGAAACAAAGCATGTAAATGAAGCATAGGTTTCAACTCGTTACCGGAAATTCTCCAGCCCTGGGGCCTCATTTATAACCTTTGCGTATGCACAAAAACAGGCCCTGAAATGGGCGCATTTGTTGTGATTTATAAAAACAAACTTGACGGGAATATTTGCGCACCTTCACGCAAACTCTGACCCATGCGTACGAACGTTTTGAAGATGGAGCAGTTTGGCGACACCGATGGTGAGCTGGAGTTAATGTCTTTTTGGTCACTTTTGGATAGAAAATCTAAAGTGAATTATACTTACAGAAAGATAATACAAATATATTTTCACTCACCAAGCCTATCACTTGAAGAAAATATCCATCTCTTCATAAATGTCCGCACCAGCGAGCGTGTTGGGCCGATTAGTGAAATATATAGCCTATCTAACGGCAGATGACTGTTAAAACGGCAAATCTTCATTATGAGTCCTAATCATAAATACAGTGCATGTCCACAATAACAGTTTACGTAAAAAAATTAAAATGATTTACATGTTTTACTTCTGATATAAACATTTATATTAAATCGATTCGAATTAAATATGCCAGTCTCATCAATGGGGTTAAACACTTGAAAACTACATGAAATCATTACTAAGAAGTTACAACTTTAAAAAAAAAAATGGCTGTGGATGCAATGCCTTTGAACACTTTTCCTCTGACATGCTGTGTTTTAGTGTTTTAACTACAGAGATGTTGCTTATAATAGCAGATTGTCTGAGAAAATAGTTTTGTGCAAATAATGCACAACAAGGTCTATCTGCTTCCATTCAAAATATAAATCAATTAAAAATACTGTTTGGCCAGTGGAAAAGAT